GATATATCCCATGATGCTTTGCCACAACATCTCTCCTGGCAAAGCATCATGGGGTTTGTTTCGGTGCCAGTAAATTACAAAGATGGCGCAGGCATCGTCTGGGAAGGAGGAGTTACGTGACCAACGGTGAGCGAAAAGTATTGACCATCTGTCTGAACGGTCCGTTAACTGAGTTCACTTTATAGCCCACTATATATAGCGATGGAGGGATTCAGGTTTGAAGACTATGTGGCAGCATCATGCTATGGGCTGGTCACTAGTGATAAAATTGTCAGTAAATTTGAATACTGAGAGGATTCCTGCGCCGCTCTAGTTGCTGATTTGGCTCCAACTTCCTGGTTTGAATCTCAGAGTCTCTTTGTTTGCTCACCAGCGCTGAACCAGCTCTCCCCTCTCTGTCCATAGGTGAGCATCTCCACAGTGGGCTACGGAGACGTGTACCCAGAGACAATCCTGGGTCGCATCTTCGCCTTTGTCTGCATCGCGTTTGGAATCATCCTGAACGGCCTGCCCATCTCCATCCTCTTCAACAAGTTCTCAGACTACTACTCCAAGCTGAAATCCAATCAGTACACAGCCTGCCTGAAGAAACGCGGCAAGGTCAGGTTCTCCGAGAGGACGATTAACTCGGTCAGCAACTGCTTCGGCAGCCATCACTGATTCCTTCTGGGAAAAACCGAGCAGGAAATGTGCCTGAAAAACACGTATGGAAAGATGGCAGCTTCCGAGCAGGAACACGGAGACATGCGGCTTCCGCAACCTCTCTAGCAACGCTTAGTGGTAGGAAGGAGTAATGAAGGAGGAGAGCATTTACTTGAAGGTAGAAATGGAATAAGTCTGCAAGACGCCACACATTGACGTGTTTTCCTAAAATCCGTCAAAAAGTTTAAGACTGATGATCTCTAAACTTACTGAACACTTGATGCTTATTGGACTCCATTAAAAACGCAGGAAAAAAATCAAAGTATGTATTGAATAGGGGATATTTGTGTGCATATTTTTGTAAAAACGTGGCTTCAGTGAAGCTGAGACGAATCTTTAAATGTTTACAGGTTTGACTCTGTTCCTGTGAGGCCAAGATATGATGTGTCAGTTATTATTCCTATAAATAATGCTTCTGCTTTACAGAGTATTGCAATAATCGCCAACGATGCTTGTCTCATAATAAACTCAGAATGTGTTCATTGGAGTCAGACCTTTTTAAATAAAATCTGGGGAAAACGTGTTTCTGCTGACCTCAGACAAAAGCCGTGTGTTCAAATTTACTTCAATCATCTACAGACTGCATCATCTGCAGACCTGAATGAAACTAAAATCTCTCTCATCAGTCCCTGGTCCTGGATTTATGGATGTGAATCTGAACCTTCTTCATGAATACGGAGATACATTTGTTCCAGCATTTTTCACATGTTTCAAATAAGGAAAAATGAAAAAAAATAGGTTTCAAAAATGAAAAAAAAAAAAAAAAATTTTTTTTTGTGTTTGCATGTCCTGTTTTGCCTATAGAAGTCTGGAAATAGATGTTCCAGAGATAACCGATAGCCCAACAGCTTTGCTTTCACAAGCAGACCATTATGACTGTTGCCATGAGGTTCTGATTGATGCTTGTATATTAAACTTTAATAAAAATTATTTAAGGAGTAAAATTGTGTACGACAGGGAGATAGAAAGGGAGGTCGGAAAGATAGAGGGGATAAGAACTAAGGGAAAGAGAGAACAAGATAGAGACTGGAAAGTGGGCATGAAAAGAGGAAAAAATAAATTAAAACAGCAAAAAATGGACACAAGATATACAGTAACTCCTAGAAGTCTGTTTCCACATCTGGATGAGATGAGAGGAACAGAAAATGGAGAAAATAACAGCAAAAAGAGAAAAACAGACAACCAAAGCAAACATCAAAAAAAGCTTCAATAGTAGCGGGCATCCTTTCCACGTGGTTCAGAGTCAGAACCTGTGGTGATTTCACTATATATATATATATATATATATATATATATATATATATATATACAGGGTTTGGACAATGAAACTGAAATACCTCTCATTTTAGTGTGGGAGGTTTCATGGCTAAATTGGACCAGCCTGGTGGCCAATCTTCATTAATTGCACATTGAACCAATAAGAGCAGAGGTCCAATTAGCAGGGTAAGAGCACAGTTTGGCTCAAAATATTGCAATGCACACAACATTATGTGTGGCATAGCAGAGTTCAAAAGAGGACAAATTGTTGGTGCACGTCTTCCTGGCGCATCTGTGACCAAGAAAGCAAGTCTTTGTGATGTATCAAGAGCCACGGTATCCAGGGTAATGTCAGCATACCACCAAGAAGGACGAACCTCATCCAACAGGATTAACTGTGGACGCAAGAGGAAGCTGTCTGAAAGGGATGTTCGGGTGCTAACCAGGATTGTATCCAAAAACATAAAAACACGGCTGCCCAAATCACGGCAGAATTAGGCCCCGTCCACACGAAGTCAAAACGAACATGAAACGCTGATATTTTCCAAAACGTTTGT